AAAATAATTTTAAAAGTTAAAATTTTTTTTTTAATTTTAGAAAATAAAAAATAATTTTAAAAAGGTTTGCATTTGGCATTCTTTTGTTAATATACATGTCTCACATTTTACCTTGAAAATATTTTTCTTCATTATGTCTTTAATTAAGTATGTGTGTCGCCAAGTTTTAGAAAACTCACTTTCATTGACTCCTTTGTACATTGAAATTTTATTGCAAGGATTGAGTCCAGAAAGATTGTTATCCTTCTCAAGCATGGCTTAGCAAAGAGGCCACAAGGGAGCTTCTCTCCCAGACTGGGAGCAGCATCTGATCATTGACACTGTTTAGATGGTGTATGGTGACGATAAAAAGCACACTGGATTTTGGTCAACTTTGTTACTGCTCTTGGACTTTTGGCAGACGGGGCACTGGCTTACTTCTTCCCCTAGGCTGGCCACTTCCGCCCCCCCCCCACCCCACACACACACCTTGGTGTGCTACTGATCTCCAAGTCCTCCTCTCTGGAGTGAAGAATGACTAAAATGGTATAAAAGAAGAATTTTATAATCCAAACCAAGTGCTCACAGACTATCACATGCAGGTCATATATGCCTATTTTTGTGCATATAGTCCGTTTGCTGTTTGTTTAACAAATTGGCTTCGACAGCTTTTGCACACCAAAACCACAGAGATGAGTAGTTGGGACACAGGCCATATGTCCCTCAAAGCCAAAAATACTTACTATCAGGCCCTTAACAAAAAAAGGTCTCTGACCCTTGATCAAGAGTCAAAGTGTGCTTGCTTTGTGGACATGTAAGCAAGACAATCATTTCACATTCATACTGTAGGCCAGGAATTTAACAAGCATCTTTGATACGTGTTTACCACTGACCAACCTATATTTACCTATTAATTTTTCTCTGTTTTTTAGTCCCTGCTATGTGGATATTTGTTAGCAATGACTGATGTGGAAACTACATATGCAGATTTTATTGCATCGGGAAGAACGGGTAGAAGAAATGCAATACATGACATCCTGGTTTCCTCTGCGAGTGGCAACAGCAATGAATTAGCCCTGAAATTAGCAGGTCTTGATATCAACAAGACAGGTGAGCTGACACACATCTCTCTATGAACACGGGATGATCTGTACCAGGATTAAGGCAAATTCAAAAGTAACAGAATTATCAACAGTCCAAGGCAAGATAGAAGGAAGGAACTAATCTCTTAATCAATCACTCCCACTCGTTTTCAATAACTTCTTCTTACAGGGTTTCTCACTCAAATCCCATACAGTATTGACAGCTGTAAAAATGACAAACAAAATATCACTAGCTGAGAATTGTGAGGGGTGTCCTTTTTAATCTCCATGTTTCGGCTTCTTTTTGGTTTACACTCAATGATGTTCCTGCCCTGTGTTTCCCTTGACTTATCAACGATCATCCGTTTAGCTATGGCTCTGTGTTTGCTATATTATGCTAAGACCTGGGAAGTGTCCCCAGAAAGTCCCTAGAAAAGTCACTGACAAAGTCTCAAAGTCACTGACAAAGTCTCCAAAGTCCCCATGGGAGTCGAATTCTTCATCTTGTATGTGCGCAATTACTTTCATCCTTAAATACTCGACTCTCTTGCATCTTCCCTAATCTGACTTCATGCCTCTGGTTCTCAAGATCGTCTCCTATTCATCAAGTTCTTGTTGTATCTGCATATCTTAGGCAGAGCCACCTGCACATCTTGGGAGCCTCTCCATTGTTCTAATGATGAAAGCGGCGTATGGAAACGATACATAACGCCTGGCCGTACCCTCGGAACCCCTTTAGAACAGACTCTTTTTTTTTTTTATCATAGAACTACTTTCAATTTCCGTAAAGTATGGCGAGTTGTTTTGTGTATAGTTGTTAAGAGTAAAGGAGAAATCGCCTTTCAACATTTCCATCTGAAGAAGGGACCGGCCCATTTACCGCTAACCATTTGAATCACGGTAACAAACTCTTAGCAAAGACTGTCAGAATTTCATTACTGCAACACCCCCAGATATTTTGTCCACTAAGCGGTACTGGCTGCTTCGTAATGAACCAACACATGAATCTTTGAATCAAGTGCCCACAGCTTGCACTCAGGTAGAATGACCGAATATGGAGAGAAAGCACTGTTTAATCTCAGTGTTTGCTAGGTCACTGGCTGAGATTGCTGAAGAGGACACTGTTGTGAGCGTGGTTTAGCTGGAGTTCTGCTTACATTCGCTAGGCTGTCACTGTCGTGTACCAGCGGACATGACCAGCTGCCATGTGCCTTTTCATCTTCCACTGTTGCTTTTCATCTAAACGAATTAAACCTCTGAGAAATCAGATGCGTTATCACAAAATCCTTAAAATAAGACAGGAATGAAGAGGCAAACTTGCTCTCCACTTCCAATTTCGGCCTAAAGACACTCGCGATTTCTGCAACCTGTGAAACTATATATAAGTGCCGTGGCCTGGGCATGAGATTTCCTACTTATTTATCAAAAGCACCGATGATCAGTAACCCCTGTGAAAATGCAGTTATTATTTTGCTTTTGAGTCATGCTGGCCCAAGTTCACAGAACAAGAATTAAGCAGCCCTTGAAACATTTAAACTATTTTCTTGATGGGTAATTAATTACCAAGAAAATACACTTGTTTCTATGAAGAGTTCAGATTTCTGGATTATTTCTTAAATTTCCGATGCAATATCCTGAGAGCGGGTAAATATAAGTAATGGTTTTTATTTTGCCTTTATCCTTGTTCCGTCGTCTCTTACAGAGGGTGAAGAAGATGCACAGCGAAATTCGACGGAACAAAGCGGAGAAGCTCAGGGGGAAGCAGCGAAATCCGACAGCTAACACCCCGTTCTGATCTTCATCAGCACCTGACGATGTCTCACACCTCCAGGCCTGGCCGGAACGCACTGGTCTCCAGGAGCGAGAAGGGGAAAAAGAAAATGGCCGTGTCGCATCGCAGGAGCCTGCTCACTGTCGTGTTAAAAGTGGGGGCAGAGGCTGTGGCTGCAGGCAGACTTTTCTCTACCTCTGTCATTAGCAATGGCTGAAATCATGTGGCCTGTGCTCGGATGTCATTTTTGTATGGATCCTTTCACTTGACCATATGATGAAATGCTTGTAGAGAGTAGCACTGACCTAGGTGATGATTCTTCCTGTAGCATCTGGCCCCTCACGATGTCAGAGGATTTAATTGTGTCTAATTGCAAAGGGTTGGTTGAACCCCGGAGTTTAAAGAACTCTGGCCCAAGTATTCACCCAGTAAGAGAACCATCCAGAAAGCACTGTTTTTAGCATTATGTATCTGTGTGTTCCTGCTGTGTGATTTACACTGTTTTGTATTGTACAGTATAGGCGCTCAGCACTGCCCCTTCTGATTGCTCATGAAAAACAAAATTAATGTACATTACTGTGAATTTTTATACCACTCATTTTTAAAAGGGCTGCCTTTTTTTCTTCTCCATAGTGTGGTGGTGTACACAGGATAGAACACCTTTTTTTTTTTTTTTAACTTAATCTTTCCCCTCCATTCACTGCTGATGAATTGATTAAGCCTGAGAGATTCGTCGAGTCTCCTTTGCTTTTATTATACAGGCCTTTGAAAATATCCGTTAATGTGAATATTACCCGAATTCAGTGTGTCTGCCGTCTGCACAGACCAGAATTCAACCTACAAATTTTACTTTATTCCCAAGGGGAGAACTTTTCCCAACTAATATTTTGCTTTTTAATTGTGAGGATCTGAGAGAATGGGAAAGGTGGGAAAGAGAAGCCGAGATGACACTAACAACCAGAAACGTTTTGTTCTTTTGGAATCAAATTTCCCACAATGCCGTATGCTACTATTTACATGTTGAGGACAGCGGGTCTCCAGGGCGCTGAGAAAGATGGAGAAATGGATCTCCTTGCCATCATGTGGACACCAATCACAAAAGTGAAGCCCTCGTGTTGTGTTTTTCATGTCTTTTTTCAGCCCGATCAGATTCAAATGTTATGATACACTTTTTAATGTTTGTAAACTTTTACTAATAATTAGTGTGAACTGCATTCGGATACAGTAATGATCCTCATTAGAAGCTAACAAAACCCGCAGTAATGCTGCGGGCGGCCTCAGCTGTGTTTTGGCATCGTGGTTCTTATCTGGAAAGTTTCTGTGAGCTGTGTGATAACCTTGGGTCGGTATTATGAACGCAGTTATCAGTGGTAATAAATCAGGAACCAGTACCAGGCCGACGGCTCATGAATTACTGGACAAATAGCAGACAGCGGGAAGACCTGTTACCATAAAGAGCCCACTTAACTCCTCCAGGGCTCAGGTACAGACCCATGTGAACTAGGTTAATCAGCATCTCAGCAGGTGACCGATCTGGACCTACCAGCAACCCAGGCCTCCTTGGTACTTGCGTACAGGGTGAAGGTAAGTCTGCCCTCATCTCCCTTCACACTACTTTTTGGATGAGCGGGATGAGGGCATGGACACCATCTGGTCCTCAGTCACTTATAACTAGGAAAAAATGTGAATAGTGTGAGTCTCTCAAAAAATAGAAAGAGGAAAAATTAAGTCCTAGAGCGCTTCCTTCTAGCTAAACCGTTAGGGTCCAAAACATCCAGTTAAAATTCGATAGACTTACGAGTGGGGAAAGCGGTTCCCAAGGCTGTTGTAGACAATCTCTGCTAGTCCACTTAAAACGTCTCGCTCATAAAATCGCCTTTTCAATCCTCGTTTACTATCCTCATAGCTTTCTTGTGAATCTAGCTTAAGTCCCCTTCGTCCTTAGAATTGTGGAATTCCAAACTGATCTCACGTGGTTTTGTGAAGTTTAGGACTAGTGCTGAGTATATGTGGAGGGTTTATATTCCTATGTGATATACTGTGATTAATGCATGTGACGTCATGCTTGTCTCCGAATATATAAATAGTGCTAAACTGCGAAGTCATAAGGAGCTTTTGAATTATTTTGACCTCTTACTGCTACTTCGTCTGCTATATTCAAACCCAGAGGCATTCCCGAGCTCAAAGATAAAAATCTACTTCCCAAAACATCTACTTTACAGATGTTGCTCAGTGCAAGTTCACAGTATCTTCCAAATTTTATCGTAAGCTCTTTTACTTGCAAGTCAATGATAAACATAGAATCGAATGATTAACGAGAGAAGGAAAGCGTAGAAAACGAAGGCATTGTTTTGGTGATACCTGCTGAATGTCTATGAACTAACGGACCTTATACAAATCACTGCCCAGCACATATGTCCCCATTTAATCCTCAAACAACTCAATTAAAGTAATGTTATCCCATTTCACAGATTAGGAAATTGAGGCTCAGTGAGGTATAACTTCTCTGAGCTTAAAAAGATAATGAACAATGAAAGTAAGATTCGAACCTGTCTATCTCCAAGGAGATTTCTACAGCACATGCCATGTAACTAAAGTCAATCACAGGACATGTGTACCTGGAAGGGAGCATTTAGAGATGGACAGGTTCAGCCTCCATATTTTAGAGAAGCTGAGTCCCAGCAGGAGAACTGTGCTCCGCAAGGCTACCTGCACGAGCAAGGACACAGACACGTCTAGGTCACCGAAGGTGCACTTTCAAAAAACACAGAAGTTCAATTCGGATTTACTTTTCGTGTGATACTTCCCAAATGGTATTTTTCTGGCATGTAGTCTATAAAGTTAGCATGGTGCAGTTTTTGATGCCCCAAGCTACCCCGTTTTATTTAACAAGAAATATGACGATTTCACTTTTTCCACTCGTTTGCAAACAAGTGTGAACTTATCAAATTTACCTTTTATCAGTTGTAAGCATCCTATGCTAATGTGTTGTTAAAATAAATTCACAGAATCTTTTTTCCCCAGTAGATAACAGGCCGCCTTCAATTTTACGCACCGCCCCCAGAGCTGCACACTGTAAACGCCCTGAACGTGACCTTACCCAGACCCGGTGGAAATGCAGCTTTTTAGAAGGTGGATGATATTGCTGTTTCTCTTCAGAGAAGCAATGATGGGTAATGAAACGTAACTGCCTGAGGGCAGCAGAGCTTCTGAGTGAAGCCCATAGTAAGAGGGAGGAAATGTACAGCCATCGAGCGAAATCAGGAAAGGATCTATGATCTATGATGTCTTAATGGGCCCTAAATTGTTCTCTGATTAAGAGTGGCAGTCTCTGAAGTCATTTGTGAGCTTGTATGACTTTTGTATTTAGCAATGTTGCATGCTCACATAATTGATATTAAAAGAAATACATTTTTCTGAAATGTACACAGTCTACTAAGAGTATTTATTGAACACATACTACGTACTTGGTACTCCAGACAGTTCTACGGGTAACGATGGAGAAACCCCAAGCCTCAGGCGTCCTGGGCGACATACCCAGCGTCTGGCCTCACCCTTTCCCAGCCTTTACTCCCATTATGTTCCCCTCCGTTGCACCCTGGGCTTCATGTCTACCAGAGCCAACTCTCACATCTCACACCAAAGCCCCAGTGTCACTCCCATGGTTTCCAGTTGCTTATCGTGCAGGACAGTGATCTAATACCAGAAGAAAGACAGGTGTTTATCAAGATCTCCCGAAAGTTTTTACAACACTCCCTCTGCCACCCGTGCACACACAGATACATTCCCACACCAACACTTGCCCTTGAAAGTACTCCCATGAGACTTCCATGTCTCTTTTTCCTCGCCCCCTCATCCCCAGTGACTTGAGAACCGGAGATCTAGAAGTACGAGGCTTCCAGACGTACCTGCCCTGTTCACTCCACCAAAAAGTTTTAAAATGACTCAAAAAAAAAAAAAAAGTGCTCGCAGACACCCAGGGTTTTACCACATTAGGGTAACATCTTGGAGTAGCAAAGAGAGTTGAACTTCTCTTATCTTGGGGCGGCTCTCTTTGCATCGTATTATTTTTATCAGACGCAGGCAGTGAAGATCAAGCAGAGACCAAGGTTGGAGTCTGAAACAGTGAGCATCACACAGCACTCAGCCTGAGTCCAGGGAAGGTCTTAGGCCACAGCGGCAGAAGAGGATTGTGGATCTTTAAGTTCATCTTACTCGAGTGACCGGATAAAGCACGAGGGCTGCGGGACGACCCCGCGAGCCAGCGCGACAAGCTTGCGTTACCTCTAGTGCCGCTCTCCCTCTAGCTTTTGCATCTTTCTAGTCCAGGATAAGGGGATTTGGCATCTCTCATTGTTAAGTCAAAATTAACAAAACGATTTGACTATAACCCGCCAGCTTTCTAATCGGCACCAGTCTATTTACTGATCATTTCAAGATGGGTATTTCCTCAGCGACCCTCCTCCCCGTCTGGAATTCATTGTTAATCTCTCTCCCCATTGCTCTCACGTTCCTTCCTTTCTTGTCCTCCTGCCATCTCTGCCCAGTGAAAATCAGTCAGCCCATCTCCCTTCTCGGTCACTGTCTCGGATGGATGTATAAAGTTTACAACGATGCTTATTCATCGTTCGCAACCTCAGTGCAGACCTAAGAGCTGCACAGCTCTCTTTTTTCATGTCTCTGGGGACAGAGGAAGCTTCCTGCTTCCTGTCGAACATTTATTCCTTCATCCGAGGGATACACTGGAAATCAGTTACCATCCACCTTGCAACCAGATGTGTCCTTCTAATGCATACGTCTGATGGTTTCACTCTAATTTAAAACATCCTACAATTTAGCCAGGCAAAATTTTTCGATGTAAGTGCTATATTTCATTTTTACATAACTTCTTGCTCTGTGTTAGCTATTTTCCTGTTCTTAGATGTTCTTGGTCATGGTTGTTCGCAAATTCTCTCGATTCTTTCAGACTGTTCTCTCTTACCCTTTTCTTTACAGCTTTTTGAGCTGCACCCCCATTTGTAAGCCCCTCCCTAAGAAACCGGCTGCTTGATATTCCTTGCTCCCCTAACACTTGATCTTCAAACTTATCTCACTAGATCACAGTGATTTGTTGACAGGTGTGTCTTTCCAGCTAGAATATGAGCTCTTTGAGAGATGCAGCCTCCTGTATTCATTTTTGTATCTTCCTTGTCTATTAATACTCAATAAGCATTTGTAAATGAATGTCTGCCCTCCTGACGTTCACAATAGCTAAGAGACAGAGTTTACACACAAGTTGATTAGGGGAAAATGTAATTCAGAGGTAAAGTTGATGGTTGAAAACAGTAAAGGCTGCATAGTATTGCACGACAGATGATAACTTGATTTCTATCCCTTTTTTTCTAGTTTATGCAATACAGTCACTATTTTTAAATGATTCTCAAACTGTATGCTGCACACACACACAGAGACACACGAAGATCTGATAAGGCCTAACAGGGATGAGATGTCAGATAAAATCATGTAAAAATAAATAAACAAATCAAAGTAAGCAGTCTGGCTAAAAAGTGACTCTGCTAAAGGTATTTCTTAGCATCCTGTCGTACAAACTCCATTCAGCCTGCTGGAATTGAGGATGGCCATAGAAGGAAGTTGTAGTCATAGAAAAAAATGAGAACATAATACAAAGGGACTAAGAAACACAATCTTATGGACTTAAGAAAGAAAAGAGACTGATACATATGTATAAAACTTTCAAGTCTTTTTTTCCTCAATATTGTATCTTTGAAAAAAAACACACAGAAAAATAGCAGTAATCTAAATAACACAGGAACTCTGACAGGACTAAAGAAGTATTATGTACATTTTGAGTCTCAAACTAAGAAATAATAATGGCCAAGCTAATGATGTAAGGTTACTCCTAATAGAGCACGTTCGCAAGTGGCCGCTGTGATTCATCGTACACACTCCACCTGCGTAGGACGGTGTGAGTGATGACTATCCTGTTGAATTTTTAAGCTTTCTTTCATCCCACGCATTCTTTGGAATCTATAAAACAATACGCAACCATAAATTTTAAGGGCAAAAAGTTATGTAAAAATAGCTATAGCGATGGAGGGACAACTTAAACAGAACCGGCCTTCCCAGATGGCCTTAAATAAAATCCAGGAAATCGTCACATCGATTTAGGAAATATTTACTGAGTATTCAGTAAGCTTAAGTCTCTGTATTAGGTGCAGTAAAAGGTGAAATTTAAAAAAAAAAAAAAAAAGGACCACAGAAATCTTTGACCAATAAAAACTAAAATATGCGACAGTGAACATCGTTTTTTTTTTTCTATCAGTATTCCCAGACTTTCTGTGTCACCACACCATCCTTTATTATGAGGAATTTTTCTTTAATTTTAGAGTTAATGAGAATCTACTTTTGACTCAGCTGCTTCTCAGGCCTTTGTAACACAAAATTGGGAGAATAGATGTAGACACGGGTTGGAGTGATGAGAGCATTTCCTTTTCCATGAAGAATCAGTACCAGAGTTTATCTTCATGAGGGATAAATCAGGTAAGGGTTCAAGCAGACAAAAAAAAAAAAAGAAAAATTTTTTTTCAGGCTAACATGTTTAATCAAATTTGCTTAATAAAGTGCCAATAATTAGAGGGAGGTTTAGAAAACTTCTAAGAAAGTTTGGGAAGGATGACAACTAGGAGGTTTCAGTAGAAAATCAAAGAAAACTGGGAAAGTGAGAAAAAAGTATTTTTACAGGTCGTGAAGTTGACCTTTCATATTCTTAAAGAGAAATACATCTATATAGCAAATATTTTTCAATTATTTATGGTTTTTAGATGAGACTTTTTTGAATGTGCTCTCCATGAAGACAAGGTCACAAGAGACCATAGGGTTTACTGAAGTATACTCGCTTAAATAGCGATGGTAAGACAAGTGCGTACGTACACATAATAAATGTACGAAGATGACGAGCAACACTAGAAGGACATGGACCATCCCCTGCCGATTCTGGGGGAGAGATGTCATTCAACGAGAAAGATCATGGAAAAGGAGACACTGGAACCATTTCTTCAAGTGTTATTTCATTGAAGAAAGAGCATTCTGCATAGAAAAAAA